TGCCACGTGCGACCACACAGAAGAAAGAACTTCAAGGGAATCAAAAGGCAACACAGAGCCCTTTAAAGGTACAGGAGGTGGAGACCAGGGTGGAACCTCAATTAACAAGACCACCCACTTTCCCAATTTAAGTCGCACACACCCTTAACTTTTCGCTCAGTGCTCCTGATTGTGTAAAGACTGTCAGAGACTCTCCTGTTGCATCCTGATCCTGATCATGTTCCTGATTTTGACCCTTGCCTGTATCATCGCTTCTGAACCTGTGCCACCTGTCCTGACCTTTGGTTTCCCTGACTATTCTCTTTTCTAATCCTTTGGTACTGCAAACTTGGTTCTTTGTCTTCAGCATCTATCTGCATCTTAGGCTCCGTCCACTAAACTGTGTTCCTGACAGACTACCCTACAGATACCAGTGAATATTAAAGAGATTCAACTAAAGATACAAGTTGTAGATGTCTTTTCTGAAATCTGGTCCCTTGCTGAAACAAACCAAACCCATTCTTGTCTCTATAGGAAAACACAGAGAGTATATTGTATTCAATGTTATTCCCTCATCTTTATTCCAGGTAATTCTTGGTATTCCCTGGTTATGCAAGCACAATCTAGTTGTTAAGTGGACCTCAGGAAACGTGTCCTTCTCCTGAACTCTCTGCACCACTCACTGCCTCCATAATAACCTCACCACAGGCTATGTACATTCCATACTGGACGTTGATATGAAGAGGTCAAGAGGTTCTACTTCCCAAGGTGTACCTTCGTGTCAGGGAAGGAGACAAGTGGAAAACCGCTTTTCTGTCCCGAAATGGACACTATGAGTACACAGTGATGCCATGTGGTCTCTGCAATGTCCCTGCCTCCTTCCAACATTTCCTTCATGAAATCTTTAGAGATCTCCTGGACTAGTATGTCGTGATTTACCAAGATGACATCTTGATCTTTTCCCCTGACCTACCCACACATCGTAACCGTGTTCTGGAAGCACTGAAACATCTCAGACAACACAAGTTGTATGCAAAAATAGAGAAAATTCATTTTTGAAACAACTTGTGTGGAGGTGGAGATGGATCCACACAAGGTTCATGCAATACAGCAATGGCCAGAACCTCAAACTAAAAAAACAAGTACAATGGTTTATAGGCTTTGCCAATTTTTACAGACGTTTCATCCGTGACTTTTCTCATGTTGTTCAACCACTCACAAACCTCACCAAGAAAGATGTTAAATGGCACTGGACTCACTAGGCACAGTCTGCCTTAGATAAATTAAATACACATGTTCATTACTGCTTCTTTCTCGAAGTCGATGCTTCTGATAAAGCCACTGGTTCTATCTTGTCTCAAAGAGATGAAGAGACAGATACCCTACATCCTGTTGCCTTTTACTCTAAGAGGCTGACCCAGGCCAAATCAAACGTGATTGTTGGTGACAAGGAGCTACTAGCCATAAAACGGGCACTATAGGTTACCACTCACCCTATAACAGTATACACTTACCACAAGAATCTGGTATACATTTGCTCAGCCAAATGGCTCAATCCACGATAAGCTCGCTGGGTTTTATTTTTTTTTTCAGGTTCTCTTTCATGTAACTGACCGGCCAGGATCAAATAATCAAAAGGCAGATGCCCTTTTGAGAATGTTTGTCCCAGATGAAACACAACATAAGAAAAAAGAAACAATATTAAATCCTCAAAATTTTCTGGGTATCATGGCTACTGTCGTAAAAAGACATCAAAGTCACTACGGCCACTACTATTCTGCCTCTGTCTCCAGAAGGATTCCCAATGTCCCATGGAAAGGTCTATGTTGATGAACCCTTTCATCTACGCATATTGCAACACTTTCATGCTACCATCAGCTCCACCACGCAGGCTCGCTGCCTTGGTGTTCTCTTTGACTCTGACTTTTCCTTTATGCCGCAGTCTATCACCAAATGCTGCCGATGACATCTCAAAAGCATTGTGCGCATCCGACCCTACTTAATGCCAGATGCGACTAAGGTTCATTCCTCTGTCCTTTCTTGCCTTGACTACTGTAATCCACTTCTCAGTGGTCTTACATGCTTTCAGCTTTGCGACCATTACAGTCCATAAAGATGCGGAGGCAAGGCTCATCTTCCTGTCTGCCTGCACCTCTCCCCATCTCACCCTTCTGTCATTGGCTTCCTGTAAGATATAGGGCTCAATTTAAAATTCTGGTTCTTGCTTTGAAATCTCTACATAATGCTGCTCCCACCTATCTATCCTTCCTAATACACAAGTATGTCCCGTCTAGGCCCTTACGCTCTGCTGAAGATTTACATCTATCTTCTGTCCGTACTCCCACCTCTGATGCTCGCCTTCATGACTTCTTGAGGGCTGCACCTTTCCTGTGGAACTCACTTCCCTCCTCCGTTAGATGCTCACCCAGTCTCCACTCCTTCAAAAAACATTAAAAACCCACTTCTTCATAAAAGCGTATCAATTAAACTGTTAATAGCTCCCGAGTGATTCCTCTCTAGCAACTGTCATTAGTCTAACACTATCCTTACCTTTTGTGTCACTTTACCTCACTCCCTCTAGCATGTAACTTTATTGAGCAGGGCCCTCAACCCCTCTGTTCCTGTGTGTCCAACTTGTCTGGTTACAACTACATGTTTGTTCATCCACCCACTGTAAAGCACTGCAGAATTTGTTGGTGCTATATAAATAATAACATAATATTAATAATCCCCATAACTCCCTGTTGTGTTGGAGATGTGGGAAAGACAGAGGCACTTACCAACATATTTGGTGGTCTTGCCCGAACATCTCGGGATTCTGGAGGGAGGTAACATGAATCACAGAGCAATCATGTGACCTGCAACTAGCCTTCAACCGAAACAATCCTTTTCTTTCACATCCCTATCTCCCCAGCAAAATTTAAACATTCCCTACTCTACTTTATGCTGACAGCAGCAAAATCAGTCATAGCTGGAAAATGGAAATCACCCAATAAGCCAACCAAGAGAGAATGGTACCAAAAAATGGATAATCTTCACAAAATGGAGGAGTTGAGGCCCTAGGTAAAGTTACTTCAATATGGAAACCCTGGGTAAGATATTTGAGAGAGCGAGCATAGACATGGAGGGAAGAGCAGGGCAAGACACAATCCCTCCCCCAACAAGATATTGATTCTAGAAAATGACACAATACATATAGAGACATGTGCAAAGACTTTGTGATCATAATGGTTTCCCATAAAGTACCATGGCGCATGTAACTGTGCTCTAGCTAACTGTTAATATTAATGAATTGTATTGTACAATGATCATTGATTTTCAAAAATGTAAAGCCATTTCTGTGACTTATTGAAATGTTCACAAAACTTTGCTTCAACGATTGTTTGTTTATCTATTAAAAAATTCTTACAAAAATAAAACAACAGAAATAAATAAATATTAAGAATGCTGGCGCTGCACGACAGAAGAGGGCACCGGACTCCATATCTGATGGCCATGCCACGTGATCATTCCTTTTTGGAAGATGGTGCACCCCAAAATCCAACACATTACAGAAACCAACCTACCATTCCAACCCCTGACCATGCTCTTACACCACACCTCCCTACCACTGCAAAAATACAAAAAGTCACTGACACTACGTTAGCAAACTACAGCTAAGTCCCTGATCCCGACTCTCTGGAAGCAGGTTAATGTGCCCACCCTCCAGCAGTGGATTGCAAAAGTAGAGGAGATATATGGAATCACTGACCCTATGGGGCCACACAGAGAAATGTACCCAAACGAGGCTTACCTATGGCTTACCTATATCACAGGACCCGCTGCAAATGCTCCTGAGCCTTTGCCCCTTAATACTGGTTAGACAAGACTGAACCTAGACTACTACCACATGAGACTAGAGGAACATCACATTTAAAGATACATAACTATACATACATATTATTTAACTAAATTGTGATCCTTTGTTTTTCTCTTTCTTCCTTAACACCCTTACCCCTCTGTCCTCTCCCCCCCTGTAAGCCATTACTACCACTTCAACCCACGTGACCGCAATGACCATAGGCTATACCACTAAACACGCCTTTTTCATGCCTTATGTTTACCATGTTGTCTTGTATTCCATATCATTATCTTCTTCTCTGTTCGAAACATGCAAATTGAAATTGGAATGTTGTGAAAACTTGAAATTCTTTGAGAAAATAATGATAGTCAAAAAAAGGCAGAAAAAATGCTTATTACCACTAGACTTGGTACAAGCTTGCGGAAAAATGATCCCACGCTAAGGTTCAAAAGATGCTGTGGCGACCAGAACCTCACCACTGGTTCTTGGAGGGGCCTGCTCGCCAGCATCTTGCTCTGTGACTATGGCCCCTGTAATAGACTTTGGTTAAAAACACAGTTTTTTCCTTTTTGGACTTGTATGGCTACACTTCGAACCCCCGAAGTGGTTTGAATCAGCACTTCAAACTCCTGAACAACCGCACGAACCAGAGACCACCCTGGAGCTTGTTAACACCTATTAATAACTTGGAACGTTTCTCACCGTAGTGTTCTAAATGTTTGTCTGGGTGGCCACAATTCCTATGGACAACCACGTGGTGGCGGACATCTTATTCGCATGAACGCAGGCAGTGGTGTTTGGGCATGAATCTTATGGAACTAAAATCGGACACAGAGGCTCCCGAACACCGCAGGACTTCCATCATCACCTGCGTTCGGTTCTATACAACTTAGAAGGGCACTGTTTGGTGAAATCGTTCGTCTGGATGAGGGGAATAAGCTCCAGGGTAAGACTATTGACTCTATACATAGTGCTGCTCCAATCACCAGTGTTGGTCACCCAAACAATACCAATAAATAGTAAAACAATAAAGTGGTTAGGTGAGAGCAAACACACAATAAAAGAAAGATACTACCACTTTAAATATTGGATGGTAAATGGTAGTTTTCAACTTTGCAGAGCCTATTCCTAGCAGGCTCAGACTTTCAGGCTCATCAGTGTATAACCTCCGGATTGCTGTATCTTGAATCTGCTTTCTCCCAAAAAGTAATTTCCAAACTTGTGTAAAAAGGAAAAATACTATTTATTGGGCACACAGTGCAATTAAAAAACAGCAAGATAAATATGTAAAAAGATTATAAATAGTATTTTTCCTTTTTACACAAGTATGGAAATTACTTTTTGGGAGAAAGCAGATTCAAGATACAGACTATTGACTCTGTTCAGTAGTTTGTTCATTTTCAAACTACCAAATTAGATCGACCACAAGCCCTGATTCTCTGGAACTGTTTTGGGCATGGGACCATGCGGGCGGGCGGTCAAAATTAAGACGTCCAGGAAATTCGTGAACCCCTGAACTGAGGTGACCGAGGTGATATTTGGATATGTTAATCACCCAGATCAGGGTTATCAGGGAATGTAACATTTGTGGGGATCTTATGTGTTTTGGGATACTTTGGGGTTTTTATAAAAGTGTGTGTTTTTCTGCCTGGAGATAATTGAGTTATTACAGTATCTGACTCAATTATCTCCCAGGAAGAGGGGAGGGATTGTATGTTTGTATATGGGAGTGTCATGCATTTAAACACTGTTGTAATTGGTCTGTGACTTTATATTGTAGTCCCCCACAAGGTCCATGGGGAAGTACCCCTTGCATGGGGATTGTTATAAAAGGCCAAGTGTGGCACCATTAAATCTGGGGATTACTATACTCATTATACTCCCCATGGTTCTAATTGCTAGCTCTTATAAGAGTTGTTCCTGCTATACTCTCTGGAGTAGGAGAGGTTCACCCACTGGAAGCTGAATCCTGGTCTTGGGTCCAGGGTGGGTGGAGGGCGGTGAGACCCCAGTCAAGCTGTGGTGGCTAAGGGGTTGTGGTGCTGATGGTGTGCTCGGAGTCCTCGTGAGCACTAAGAGCATCAATTAGCAGAGGCACCCGGTCGGGGTGCCAGGCGGTCCGTCACAGATGCCTTTTGAAATACCCTGAGATGCCTTCTTTGAGAAATGGTATGCCTGTATGGTGTAGCTGGTATATGTTGCATGCTAAAGTGCTCCAAAACTCACACTTAAAAACCTGAACTTGTCACGTCTCTTTTACAGAACTGTAACTTCACAAAATAGTGTCTAGGTCATACATTGGGCATATTGTTTTACTCAGTCAACTGAGCATAATTTGGGGGATTTTTTGACAGTGGCACATATCAATTGTAAGAAATACCCAGCAAAAATGCAACATGTATGTAAAAAATGCCATTTTGTTTTCCTCATGACAAACTTTGACATAAATTGGAGAATTTTTTGACAAGTTAAAGCACAATATACACCATTTAAGATACCCTGGGGGAGGGGCCGTACCGTCGATCTGACAAGACACCATCTACTGCAGCTCCTGTCCTTAGTCTGAAAAAAACATTAAATTACCACACACAGACCAATTATTTGCACTTCAAATTGTGATGGAATTCCAGTAAAATAAAAGTTTAGTAGGTAAGATTGCCACATGGCATATGTAGGTACATGTGTTTGTAGTATCAGTTAGTTAGTTACACGTAGCTAAGATACTGTCATCAATGTACTGAGCATGTGCAGGAATGCAGGAACTGGAATTACGCGCCCTTCTCCTTTGTTTCAGATGAGCCACGTGGTTAGACCAGATGGACGAGTTTAGACTCTGTTCATTGATTGGTTAAGGGTTTGTGTGGGCGTAGCTAATTATGGGAGGAGCTATATTGCTATATAATGAATGTACTCCATGTGTTCAGGGCTCAGATATTTTTGGAACAGGAGTTCATCTGAGACCCGATCGGTACGTGAATAAAGGCCTCTTACTTCCTGAATACCTGTGTCCATCTCTCTGTGTTTGGCTTCTGCACGTTTACATGGTTACAAAATGATGGAATCTGAATGGCCAGCTGGTAGACCAAGAGCCCTGCAAGTATTAAGATGCCGAGGTTTGGACCTACTTGCTGAAGAAAGTATGCGGCCTACTAATAGAGACAGTAGATTTCCTGCCCTTATTGGGTTAAACATCCATACCCAGACAAACATGTCACTCTCAAACCACAATGAAGACCAGGACTGGAGGGGTTATCCCGGTTCCCCATTTTCAAGTTGCAAGTTTAAAGTTTTCTGTTTGCTGAATAATATCACTACTCGCAGAGCTCCTGTGGCTGTTTGGCAGTCTTTCCCCTCTCCACTTTCTCACCCACTTGCTAAATGAAATATGGAGATTGCTGTTTCTCACCTGACCAGAGTAGAATGTCTGATTTGCACATATGCCATGAGGGGCTTCGGACCCGCTGGTGTTTCCACTGGGCTGAGAGCCTGCCGTTAGGCTTCGGGGGGCCTGGAAAATTAAGTCCCCATTGCTGTGAGCCCTGCTGGGCCAGGGTGCGATGGCATCCAGCAGACCAGTAAGTGAGGGGCTGTTCGACCCCTGTCTTGGACAAGAGGCCGGTGATGGGAGAGACTAGCGGAGGTGACATGCGGGACCTGCCAGGATGCAGGCGATGCTACGGAGGTGCAGAAGGCAGCTGACCTGCAGACTTTATGGGGGTGGGTGTCTGGAGGACTGACAAGGCCTTTGAATGTCCGGGGTGCTGCTGCCTATTCAGCGGGGACAGTGTTGGCTGGCTATGGGCGGAGGAGCGGTGGATCCATGCACATGGGGTTTGTCTGCTGCACAACATCTACAATCCTCTAGCAATGCAATATCGCATGTCTCTCCTGCAAATATTTGTATTTTTTTCTTTCTCATCTCGCAACATACCTCTGTGAGAGGGGGAGACTAGACTAAGCTGCTTTGACTGAAAGTTAATGTTCGGGTTTTTTGGGGGGTTGTTTGTTTTTTATTATTATATATTTATTATATATTTATTTTAAAATATTTTACTTCTGTCTGTGCGTGCTCGGATAAGATACTCAGTGGTGACTGGACAAAGTGTGTCCGATTGGCCACCTACTGGGGTCTTCACGTAGGCCCTACCTCTTGTCTGTCCCATGACAATAATTAAAAAAAAATTTCTTTTCACTCCTTGGACAAATACTTATTTTGTATTTTTTTTTTTTTTTTATGTTTAAATCTTTATTTTACTTTTTCAAGTTACAGAGAAACAGCAACAAAATAAATATATAAATAATATACAGAAAGAGAAAGAAATATTACCATATTTTACTTTTATGCATCCTAAGATCTCTTTTGACTTTCTTTTCTTTTTTTCTCCTTTCTTTCTCTTTTTTTTCAGTTTCAATAGCACTTTCAAATTTTCCTATCTTCCAATCATCAGTGCATTCTTATTTTCAATAGGTATTTCTTTTTTATCCCTTCTAATACACTTTATATATATCCTTATTCTTGAATTAAATTAAGTTTTTATCTTAGGTATTTTTATTTATAGTAATTCTTTCTTTAATATATCTGCATTTCTATTTTTTATATGCATCTGTATTAATGAAGCTATTTTACTTATTTCTTTCCCCTTATTTTCTCTTAATTACTCTTAATTTCCTCTTATTTCATTTCCACTTATTTATTCTTAATTTCCTCTCATTTCATTTCCACCTCGCCCAAATTTTATCATAAATGTCTTGTTTGCTTTTTAGCCTATATGCAATCTCCTCATAGATTTTGGTAGTAGAAATCTTTTCCCTTATTATACTTCATGATGGCACCTGTTTTGTTTTCCATAAACTGGCTATAATCAGCACTTTTTCCTGTAACAATATTCTCTCTGGCATAATGTGTAATAGGAATATTTCTGGTTGCAGGGGCATCAGTATATTTGTAACTTTAAAAAATAATCGTTGAATAATTGTTGAATTTATTTACACTGCCAAAATATATGGGTCATAAATCCTTCCATTTCCCCACATCTCCAGCATGTCCCCACGTTCTCTGGATATATTTGCACCAATTTTTGTGGTGTACCACCGTAGCCACATTTTGTATGTTGCTTCTATGTGTTTTATATTATGTGTGGCGACCTTAGTT